ATAACAACAGGTAACATCTCTATGCAGGGTATGTGCTAAGAACCATACTCTCAACACTCATGATACAAGAAACCATAAGGAAGTACTCGGGGCTGGTGCACTGGGAAGACCCAGAGGGATCGGGCGGAGAGGGAGGTGGGAGGGGGGATCGGGATGGGGAACACATGTAAATCCGTGGCTGATTCATGTCAATGTATGGCAAAACCCACTACAATATTGTAAAGTAATTAGCCTCCAACTAAGAAAAAAAAGAAAGAAACCATAAGGACTCCCAGATTACAAATGAGGAAACTGGGACAGAGAGAGGTAAAAGGCCTCGCCCCAGGTCACACAGCCAGGATTATAGCCCAGATCTTTCTGAGCCTGAAGCCTGGACTCTTAATTTCTAACTATAACATGATCGAGAAAGGGATGACTGCTCAAGGAGAGAGACAGATGGACTACAAGATGTCTTAGGGGAAAGAGAGATGAGAGCTAGAAGGAAACAGTGAGGGATTTGAGAAGGCTTCCTGGAGGAGAAGGCATTTGAAGTGGGCCATTAATGACTGAATTGGTTGTAGTTTCTTGGGCTTGATGTCTCTGTCTAGAGGAGGGAATTGGGAACTTTGGTTCTACAAACCTTAAACTACTACATTTGGATTTATAGGAGCCAAAAAAAAAAAAGAAAACCTGTTAGAGCTTTTTAAAGGGGCTCAGGGCAAGTTGCTTTTAACTCTTTGAGGGTCAGGACTTCTTTGTGGATCTGAAGAGAAACTCTGAAATTACATGCCCCAGAAAACTTTACACAGAGACACATACTCAACAGAAGTAGGGACCATCCATGTACTTTTAGCCCCAGTCCAAGAAACACAAGTTAAAATCCTATAAATTCACAAATTACTACATTCACACATGTTGGATGCCTTCAGGGAGATTCTCAGAACTTGGGCAAGCAGAGATTAATTTCTTAATATCAGAAGGTTAGGGTAGATTTATAGAAGAGCTTCCATTAACTGTCTCAACTTAGTATGCCTCAGTCTCTTCTGCTAGTCACTTTCTAATGGAAAAGCTATGTACTTCCTGGCATATTTTTCAGTTGACAGCTAACCTTGTTCATCAAAGATTTGCATAGTTACAAAGGTTGTAATTTCCAACATGTTGTAAATTCATACCTTAAAAAAGAAATGCTTATATCATTCTTAAGTGTATGTATCCAGTTAAGTACCCTAGCAATTTGATAGCTACAACCATCTATTAAATATATATATACAAGACTTCCCAGCTGGTCCAGTGGCCAAGACTCCATGCTCCCAATGCAAGAGGTCTTGGTTTGATCCCTGGTCAAGGAACTAGATCCTGCATGATGCAACTAAAAATCCTGCATGCCACAACAAAGATCTAAGATCTGGAGTGCCACAACTAAGACACAGCACAGGCAAATTAAAAAAAAAAAAAACTGAACAAGCTTCTCTAATAGTGCAATTTTACATCATTCCTTTTTCTACTTGAACTCAAATTTTTATTCCATGTTCCCCCACAATATTTTACAACAGTGTATTTTTTATGTTTAAATGACATATGGATAATTTTATCATAATTCTCTGCATATATATACTTATATGTAAATTGGATCATTATTTACTTTCTGTGACTTTAACGCTAGGCACTAATTTTTCTATTATTACAATTATCATATAAATGCAATTGATCAAAACAATATAAAGACTTCCCTGGTAGTCTAGTGGTTACACTTGGTGCTGGTGACATGTGTTTGATCTCTGGACAGGGAACTAAGGGCTTCCCAGGTGGCTCAGTGGGTAAAGAAATCCACCTGAAGTGCAGGAGATGCAGCCAGATGCCGGTTTGATCCCTGGGTTGGGAAGATCCCCTGGAGGTGGGCATGGCAACCTGCTCCAGTATTCTTGCCTGGAGTATCCCATGGGCAGAGGAGCCTGTTGGGCTACAGTCCATAGGGTCAGACACGACTGAAGTGACACACACACAGGGAACTAAGATCCCACATGCCGCCTGGCACAGCCAAAAAAAAAAAGTACACGTATTTCCATTTTTAAAAGTCAGAGGAGAAAATTTAACCCTTAATTGTGCTATAATTGACATAAAATAAATGACATATTTAAAGCACACAGTTTGACACATGTATACACTCATGAAACCACTCCTACAAACTTAGATAAATAATTATTTAACCGAAAAAATAAAAAAGGAAGGTTCCCCCCACCCCCGCCAGTGAGTCACATATTCCTGGATGAATGTTGCTTGCGCTAGAATGAGGTAGATTTTTTGCAATAATTCTATTCCCATGTTGTTTTGTTTTGTTTTGTTTTGCCGTCAAAGTGGTGTACTGAAGCCAGCTTGTACCAGTTCAGTTTGGGGGAATTTGTGAGTAGTTGTTTCACATAATGACTCCTAAAAACTAAATTATATGAACTTGCAATTAAATTATCTGTGTTCAAGACAAAGGAAATAAGCACTCAGCACACTCATCACTTACTAATTATTTCCCTACATTTTACTGTTATCTACGCTCTTGATATTATCTGCCTCTATTGTATTTGTGTGGTGGAAAGGCTGCTTATCTGTCACCAACTCAGTGATATCACCTTGGTTGCTTGAAATCAGCCCAAGGGGAGTATTTACACCATAGAAATTGGCAAATGGCGCAAGTTAGCACTTCCCACCTCCCCCAACATATTGTTGCACGTTTACCAGCACAGGGCTGGCAGTAAGTGCTGAGAAACCTTCAACTTAATGAAGATGGTGGGAACAAAAGGAGTGTTGTTAGAGCAATGCGATGACAGGTAACTGAAATTGCATAGTGAAAAAATTATTTTTAATGATCTATCTACTGACAACTAGATTAGACCTTATCCTTCCATTCTGTGGAAATCAAGGATTGCAAAACCCATCTGACTTGCAAAAGGATTTCTTATTCCGACATAAAAGTCATTTATTTTCCTGGTCTATTTCCAAATCCTAAGGAAGAGTATTGAGAAGAGCTGAAAATAATTGCTGGCCTTTAAATCTGTAGAGAAAAACATGGTCTGCGTTGGAAGCTTACTTTACTGTCAAGACTCTCTGCTTCAAAAAGATTTTTCATCCTTTGGTAATAATTAAGGGATGGAAAAAAGGAAGTTATTCCTAACTCTCCACGAAGTATATGAATTCATTATACGCCAACAGAGGCCAAATACTCTGCTTCTGAAGCCATGCTTCAGTCTTGGAAAGATAGATATATATGTATTATATGTACGTATATCATTATGATATATATATATGTGCCATAACGATATACATATATGCCATAGGTGTGCCTGCCAAGTTGCTTTAGTCGTGTCCTACTCTTTGAGACCCTGTGGGATTCTCCAGGCAAGAATAATGGGATGGGTTGCCATGTCCTCCTCCAGGGGATCTTCCCCACCCAGGATCCAACCCATGTATCTTATGTCTCTTACATTTGCAGGCAGGTTCTTTACCACTAGCGCCACCTGGGAAGTCCCATATGCCATATATATATGTGTATATACATATACAAATATGTAGGCATGTGTATGTCACCCTTGGCACTTTGATTGTCGTATGATCCTTCCCCCTAATAATTCCAACAGTAAGTACTTGGGACCTCAGAGGATTTTACCAAACCCTTCCTCACACATACACACACACACAGAAAGTAAGGAGGATATGCAGGGGGTAGTGTAAACATGAAACTGTCTTATACAAAAGGTGGGATCTGAGAATTAAGATAAACTTGCCAGAGACTCTCCTGGTGGTCCAGTGGCTAAGACTCCAAGCTCCCAATGCAGGGAGGCTGGATTTGATCCCTGGTCAGGAACTAGATCCCATACGCCTCAATTAAGTCCATAGCGTCCCAAAGAGCCGGACACAACTGAGCAGGTAGCACACAACAGCTCACATGCCACAACTAAAGATTTTTCATGCCACAACTAAGACCTTGCACAGCCAAGCAAATAAATATTTTTTTAAAAAAGATGAACTTGCCAAACAGCTCTCAAAGAGATCAAACTTTTTAGGACGTTCAATATCAAGAAAACAAATCCCTTAAAACAGAGGTCAGCTACCCTAAGACCAACAAGCCCACCCCTAACTGATTTATACTCAGCCCCCAAAGAATGCTTTTACAGGGACCTCCCTGGTGGTCCAGCAGCTAAGACTCTGAACTCCCAATGCAGGGGGCCTGGCTTCCATCCCTGGTCAGAGAACTAGATCCCACATGGTGCAGGTAAGAGTTTGCTTGTCACAATTAAAGCCGCAACCAAGACCCAGCGTGTGGAAATAAATAAATAAAAATAAACCTTTATTTATTTTTTTTAAAAGAATACTTTTACATATTTAAATGGTTGGGAAAGAAAAAAAAAATCAAAAGAAGAATCCTATCTCATGACACGTGAAAATTATATGAAATTCAAATTTCAGAGTCCAGTTTAATCAGGACACAGCCACTCTCTTTCCTTTAAGTATCTAAGGTTGCCTTTGTGCTGCAAAGCTAGAGCTTGAGTAATTGTGACAGAGACCATCCCGGCCTAAAACATTTAGCTCTTTACAGAAAAGCGCCTGCTGACTCCAGTCTGAAAACAGCCGGCGATTGTTGCCCATTCTCGGAGGGGAATGTACCCATCTGGAAGGGCGCCGATCTAAATTCACGGCCCTGGGCAACTCCTTCCGGTCTGTGGGCCTCAGTTTCCCCAACTGTGAAATGGGTTTATGCACAGCGCTCTCGGGTCACCTACCTAGCAGGGAATCGGGGATCGGGGCTGCTAGAGGCCAGAGACTGGATGGACTGCGCGGCCCGCGCCCACGGGGCGGGTCCCTCGGGTTTCCAACGGGGCGGGGAGGAGCAGCACCCCGGAGGCCCAGCTTTCGCGGGGGAATTCCGGGCGGGGTGCGGGCAGTGGGGGCGGGCCGGGGCGGGGCCGGGGGCGGGGCCGATCACCGCCTATAAGAAGGGACGCGCGCCAGCCCTGGCCACCCGCCTGCGCGCCCTCTGCGGACCGCGGTATGATGGCCCCCAACCGCCTGCTCGCGCTGCTGCTGCTCCTCGTGGGCGTCCCCGCCGCTGCCGCCGAGTCGGTAGGTGCTTGGAGATCCCCGAGGTGGGCTGGGGGACGGGAGGGCGGACCGGTATCTTCTTTGTTCTGGGATCCTGCGGTGGGGTCCAGGGGCGGGCAATCGGGGTAGTGCGCCGTCCCCAACTGGACCAGGGAAACATTTTTGGAAACTTTGCCCTGGGGTCCCAGGGAGGCTCCGGGGCGAGGAGGGGTGGGTGACCCCTCTGCGCACAGTGCGCCCCCAGCCTGTTGAGCTTCTCGCCTCCCCCTGGCCTCAGCCCCGCCGCGGGCTTCAGGCTCGGACGTGACTAAGTTGGTGTCACCTCGCCTCCCCTCACCCTCTCGCCCCTTCCCCGGTGATCTCAGGGCAGGCTCGCGCCCTGACCCCCCTCCGCGCCCTCCAGAATCCGAGATGGCCTCGACATGAAGGGGGGCTGCGTGTACTCGGAAGGGGGAAGGGTGCAGGGTTCTGAGGGGCCTTGTTTCACGCACCGGGGTAGAGGACTGAGCCCTGACCTCAGGTTTGGCCTCAGCCCTGCCACTGGCCTGTGACTTTGGGCAAGGTCCTGCCCTCTTCTGAGTCCCAAAGCGTCTGGAGGACTAGGATGGGAGGTGAGCAGTGCTTCTATAGGGTCCGTACAAAGTTGGGACTCTGATCTTTCCGGGGCAGACTGGAGGGACTGTGTAGGCTCCTAACTTTGCCAGGAGTTGAGCCTCTGCTTTCCGCCAGAAGCGCGTTTATTTCCACCGATCTGACCGCTGGGGAAACCCAAAGCACTCACCTTTGGGTGGGGTGAAGGGGGACTGGGGGAAGAGGTCTCCGTGAGCCTCGAGTAACCTCCTCACTGGTCCTTTACTGCACGTACTGGTCCCTGTCATAGTGTCCAAAGCCCTGGGCCCACCAGAAGCTCCATTCATCCCAGCGGTCAGTTGGAAAGGAGGGAGGCCGTCTCCTCTGGGAAACTGGCCCACAGGAATTTCTGAGAGAGGCTGTCTGACCCCCCCCCCCCCCCCGCCACAAGCTTGGCCTCTTTGGTACCCTTAAACCTCTGTTTTGGGAAGAGCAAGTGGCATTTAATCTTAATATCAGTTTTCAGTGGGGCTCCCATTTCTTTGGGATGACTTAGAATAAGTCCTTTCTGCCTGACAAGCTTCATTTGAGACCCTGAGCTATACCCACCCTCTCCCCCCGCCCCCCGCAGAACCCCCTTCCTCTTCACCCCCCAGATAACAGTTGCAGCCCTGAGTGATGACAGCAAGCCTTCAGTGCTTATGGAACTGTTCTAATAGCATTCTGATAGCTGTTCTAATGGCTCTATCAACTAGTTTAGTTCAGCCCTTGTGTTTACTGTTTTAAACTGGTCCTGAGGCTAGAGAGGTTAACCAACCTGCCCAAGGTCACACAGCTGATAAGGGGCTGAGTCAGATGCAAATTAGGCAGCCAGGCCTCCAATTCCCTTTCTTAAATCTTTTGCTCCGATCTTGATGTGTAGTCTGATGCTACTCTGAGTGGCTGCAGTGTGTGCCATCCTCAAAACTAGTTTATAGAAGATAAAGATCTGGGGCCAGCTAGCCACAGAGAATTCAGAGGGAGAAGGAAACCGAGGCCCCAAGTAAGGTGATGACCTCCCCAAACTAAGAAGGGCAAGCTTGTCAAAAGGTGAGTGGCTGAGTCAGGACTCGAACCCAAGCCTGCTGCTCCCCCATGCAGTGCTCTAAACTAGGCCCTGAAGGATGTGTTGGTGTCACAGTGGAGGTTTCCGAAGGAACGACGTGGCGTGTCCCACTGGCCTGGGCAGACTGGGGAAAAAGGAAAAGACCCTGGAGGTTGAAAGGTCACTGCATGGACAGTCACATGTCAGTCTTGGCTCTGGGGTTGCCAAGCCTGCAGGTGGTGGGGGGCTGGGGGTGTGGCGAGAGAGGCAGGCAGCTGTGCCCTGGGGGCGGTCAGAAGGATGTGGTTTTGGGGAGGGCCGGTGGTGACCCCAGAGCTGCAGGAGAAGTGAGCCCTGGGCAGCTGCTTCCTGAGAGAGGTGTCCGTCTCTCCCACCCTGACCTCAGCACTCCCTTCCTGGCTAATGTTACAAGGTCTTCCACCTCGAACTGGGTCACAGGGCTTCCCCTTTTATCTCCCCTCTCAGTCCCTTTCCTCCCAGGGCTGTAGATGAAAAAATCAGACCTAGTCACGGTTGGATTGGACCACAGAGATAATCTGGTGGTCAGCCCTTTCCTTTTTTGCAGAGAAAACTGAGGCCCAGGGAGAAGGGTGGGGCTGATAACAGTTGTCATTTATGGAGTGCTCTCTGTAGACCAAGTCCTGGTGCATTTTAGTCTCATAAAAGACCTAGCACGTGGGGATTATATTATGCCCACTTTACAAGTGGTAAAGTGGTACCGTATTGGGGTAGCAGAGAGCTCCCAGGCCATCAGAATCTCTGCCCTGTCGGCCCCCTCCAATAGTGCCGTTGGGACCACTTTGCAAATTTTGGGTCTGCCCCCGGCCACACACCATGTCCCCCTTGGTGCCACAGGTTTTGGGGAGGGAACCCAGCCCGAGCCACAGCCTCTTCAGTGTTTGGCGGGGCTTGCGGGCCTAAACCAGTTCTTCTTGTCCAGCTGGAAGCATTCCCCTGATCTACCTTCCTGCCACTCCCTCCCTGGCCAATTAAAGGCAGCCTTGTTTTGGGAGCCGCCAGGGGACCCCCGCCACCCGCCCCTTCCAGTGGTGTTGCTGCCCAGGGGCATAAACGTGGCACCTGGCCCAGTCAGTTCTGGAAGTGCCCCCCACCCATCCCATGTACTTTAGCTAAGAGACCTTTCTGGTCTTCTTGAGAGTTTTCTCCTTGATTGCACAGAAGTGGGTGTAGGAACGGAAGCCCAGGGGGGTCTAGGACCCTTGAGTGGCCAGAGAGAGCACTTTGGAATTCTTAGAAGCCCAGAGAGCTATGATAGGAAAATATTTGAGCCTTACTTTGAAGGGTGTGAGATTGGGTCTCTTTCTCCCTCTGGGTTGACATCCCCCATCTGTAAAATGGAATTTGAACTGAATAGACAGCCTTTTCCAGCTTGGTAGTCTATTAATAATTAAGTACCTACTCTTTGAAAGGCTGGTGGGAACCATAAAGACATCTAAGGCCTTGAAGAGGCTTATGGTTCACGAGGAGCATTAACATCCTCCATCAAATTCTGAGCCCTCATCCCCTCCCCCCTTCCACCCACGCACACAGGAACCCTGCTATGTGGATTTTCAGTGAAATACCTGGCCCGGAAATGTCTGTATGACTGAACAAATAAATGTATTCTTGTAACTTCGTGCTAAAAGGCGCAGAGGTTGTTTCTTACTGATATGGATGCCTCCCCGTGATACTGTGAGGTAGGTATCATTAGCTTCACTTTGACAGGAAAGTGATGCTCAGAGGAATGGAGGGGCCTGCCAAGGTCTGAACCAGGTCTTTCAGGTCACACGGGCTGTCTGATTTGCAGGTCCTCGGAGAACATTGCACATGAGGAAGTTGGCTGGCTTTGAAGGCAGATGCCTTGGGTCCCTCCTTCTGAATCGCTGGTTGACCTTGAGCACCCATGCCCTCTGGGTCTCGGTGTCCCCAACTCTGGAAGGAGGAGGTTGGACCAAAACCCTCTTGTGGGTCCTTTTTGGTGGGGAACAGGAAACGCTTTCTCAGCCTCCTTGGTAAAGAGCCTGTGGGAGAAGCGACATTGGGGAGGCGGGTGGTGGATACATTCAGCTCCTGCCATCGCCAGCTCCTGGAAACAGAAGGCTTTTCCAAGGACTTGGAGTGCTGAGCCGGCCTGAATGAGGGGCTGGGGGAGCCAGGCTGGGCTTCATGCCCCAGTTCCCTCTAAGGAGGAGTTGGCTCCTAGCTCTCCTAGGCCTTCCGGACTGGTGGGTGTGATTTTCAAGTGACTACTAAAAATTGGGGGAAGGGGCTGGACAAGGCTCTGCGAGTCACCGGAGGAGAGCCGTAGCTGGCCTGCCTGAGTCACCCCCATTTCCTTTCGGCCTCCTGGGAATGTTGGAATTGGCACCCCCTTTAAGGGCTATTAAGGATAGTCAAGCCAGCGTCCAGGGCCTTGAAGAGACATACAGGAAATACGAGCCCTAGGCCCCAGACCCTCACAGGGCCTGGCCCAGCTGTGGACTTTGACAGGGTAGAGTTCAGCCAGTTCTCCAAACTGTCCTCTGCAAGACTTGTGGTTGCCAAGGTGGAAAGAGGGAGGGGGAAGGGATGGATTGGAAATTTGGGGTTAGCAGGTGCAAAGTGTCACACATAGAATGGATGAATGGTAAGAGCCTCCTGTATGGCACAGGGAACTGTATTCAACATCCTGTGATAAATCATAATGGAAAAGAACATTAAAATATTATATATATATATGTTTAACTAAATCACTTTTCTGTACAGCAGAAATTAATACACTGTAAATCAACTATACTCCAATTTTTTAAAAATTACTTAAAAAAAATATATATATATATAGAGAGAGAGACCTCTGCAGAGAGTGTAGTGCTCTGCCCCCCCGCCTTAAAGCAAAACTGAGGTTGCAGTTGGTCTGAGTTTATGGAACAAAGTAGAGTCCAGACTTGACTTGACCCCAGGATTCTCTGATGCCCTCTTGCTTCTTGGGATTGGCTGCTGGCCAGAGGGTTTTAGAACACCGATTTGGAGTTAAGCAGACCTGACTCCAGAGCTGTGAAGGTCCCCCCCTTACTAGCTCCATGGTTTGGGACCTCAGCTCTCTGGTCTGTAAGAATGGGATTGTAGAGAGCCTTGTTGAAGATGACAAGGCTGCAACTGAAGCTCTTAGGATCTGGCCTGGTAAACGGGAGGCTTTCTTAGCGACGGTTCCCAGCTTTGCCCTGGCCGCCTTGATGCCAGATGGCCCTTTCCTTTTGAGGATCCCACCCCCAGAGGCCCCCTGGAAAGCTCTCTCCCCTCCCCCCAACAGCTGCCAGGTGGGTGGGGAGGAGTCTAGGGTGGAGCTGGCTGACAAGAGCCCAAATCT